TAGGAACCCGGCATCGAACTGCTTCATAACCTCAGCCTTGATCTTTTCAGACATCTCTGGGCGCATACGTCGGACCTTTTGCTTTACCGGAGGGCAATCTTCCCTGGTTGGCAGGTGATGAACTACAATGTCGGCATCCAAACCAGGCATGTCTTCATAGGACCAAGCAAATATCTCCATGTAATCTTGTAGCATCTGGATCAATCGTTACTTCACGCTAAGCTCTAGATTAGCCCCAATCTTGACCTCTTTCCTATCTGTCTCAGTACCCAGATTAATCGTCTCTACCGGTTCTTCATGTGGTTGAATAGCCCTCTCTTCCTGGAGTAGTAGTCTTGCGAGTTCACCAGGCACTTCGCAATCATCTTCACCTTCGTCTTCGGCCAAGTTGATCGGATTCTCGAAGTCATAACTGGCGGTAGCAGAGCTGTTACCAGTGAGATCCAGAGTGGATTGAAACCTGTATAAGTGAGTGTGTGTAAATATAGCTGTTTTGCAATATATATAACACAGAAAGAAAAAGAGCACAAGATTTGAAATGCAACAAATGTCCAATGTTTTGATTGATGATATATGGAAATGTCATACAAAAAACCCTCACAAATGGAGCTACGATGCCCCGAGTAGGTCACCGAGCCAATAAAAGTTTTAACACATTGTTTGTTACAAATTGGAAATCAAAAGAAATTAATTACTGCGTGACAAATGTGATAGGTGTAAAATCCTTTGCCGTCCAGTTGCTTGGTCCGTTGCTAGTAGTCGGGTAGATCCAACTGTCAAACTCTGCTTCTTCTACATCCTCCTCAATAGCATTCACCCTTGGGTTGGAGATAAACACCGGAGCCTTTCTGATCTTCTCCTTGCGCACAGCCCTCTGAGCCTCTGCAGTAAAGCCCAGCCCAAACTTGTCGTTCTTTTGAATGAAGTCAGGAAGCTGACCCCAGTTTGCACAATTGCCTTTCTCAATTACAGCCCGGGCATCCTTCAAAGATGCCATCTTCAACGGAAAATCCTCTTCAACCACTGCCTCAGCCGATGCCAACACTGGGGGTACCTCCTCAAAATGCTGAAAGGGGGTTTCAATAAACTCCCCGTCCATCTCGATATACCGGAATGAATTCAAGTGACTCACCATGTATTCCTCCTCACCCTGCACAGTAACAATCTTCCCTTTGACAGGGTATTTGAGCTTTTGGTGTAGAGTGGATGTTACTGCCCCAGCTTTGTGAATCCAGGGTCGCCCCAATAAGCAGGAGTAAGATGGACGAATATCCATTACATAGAATGTTGAGTTGAAAACTTGGGAACCCACGCGAATGGGGATGTCTACTTCACCGTGCACCATCCTCTTAGAACCGTCGAAGGCTCTAACAATGATGTTACTAGGTTTCAACTCCAGGCCCTCACAATCCAAGCGATCCAATGCTTTCTTGGGCAAAACATTCAGGGAAGAGCCGGTATCCACTAACACGTGTGCAAGAGTAGTGCCCCTGCACTCTATGGAAACATGCAGGGCATCATTGTGATTTTTCCCTTTGGCGGTAAGGTCAGCATCCGAGAACCCTAAGCCATTGTCAGCCGTCAAATTAGCCACACAGTCGGTGAATTGACCCGCGGAGGTCTCTTGCGGCACATGGGCCGTTTTCAGAAATGAAATCAGGGCTTTTGCATGGGCCTCTGAGCATAGCAGCAACGATAACATAGAGATTTTGGAGGGAGTATGCCCCAACTGTTCAACAACGTTAAAGTCACTCTTTTTGATAATTTTAAGAATTTCCTCCATTTCTTGTTGGGAGGCTTCCACAGCAGTCTTCTTTTTCGGTGCCTCCGTCCTGGCAGGCGAATCAGTAGCAACTTCCTTGCCCCGAGTATCAGAGGACTCGGCGGCAGTAGTAGACACAGGAACTTGAATTGGAACATGCACACTTGCGGGTGTGATGGTGAGAGGTTTTCGGATAACTGGCGGTGCAATGTCAGGCGAGAAGAGCTTGCCACTGCGGGTAATCTTTGCGGGACCAGTGATATTACTGATGCTGGTATTGGTGTTGAACTCTTGCTTTACCCCAAGCACATACACGTCGGCTCCATAATGCCATGGGACCGCTTTATCAGACTCATATGGGAGAGGCCCCGGGACAGTAATAGTGATGGGTGCAACAGACATAATCTGGACTGGTTTCTTTACGGGAGCTTTGGCAGGATTGTAAATTGTGACAACAGATATTTCTTCAACGGAAACAGACGGAACAGCAGCTTTCTTGAACATAATTTCCTTGCTATCCATCAGGCTTTGGATGCCTGATTTCAGCAGTGGACAACCGGTAGGGATAATAGTACACAGGAGGCAACCTTTGCTACAACCCGGAAATAAACCGGCTAGTAGCAAGTTCCTCTTAACAGTCAAAAGAGGGGTAACAACTTCATTCACCGAAACAGCATACAACTCTTCCTCAACGGCATTTACTCTATGCTGGGGCATAGGAGCAGTTACAACATTTGGTCTTTCAGGCGCTTCAAACTGAATTTCCTTCGCGTCGATAAGATCTTGCACTTTGTTTCTCAAGGCCCAGCAATCATCAGTAGTGTGCCCGGGACTATCGGAATGATAAGCACACCGGGCATTCGGATTATACTTAGGAGATGCAGTGTTGACGACCTTAGGAGCTTCTTTGAGGGTCACCAGGTTGGTGGATAACAGTTGGGGTAAAATTTGAG